ATATATATATATATATATATATATATATATATATATATATATATATATATGTATATATATATATATATATAAAATAAAATAGCTTACAATTCAAATATTAAATGATAAACAAAATGACTTTTGCTATTCGCGGTAGAGATCGTTTTAAATTTTACTTTAAAGTTAATCTAACGGTTAATATTAACACCTTAAATTTAATAAAAAAAAATAGGTCACTAAGGATGTGTTTGGAGTGACTTTTTAAAAATACTTTTAGAAATAATTTCTCATAAATACTTAAAAAAAATTTATTTTTGAAATCCCCCCACCACTACCTCTACCTCCCTCCCACCGCCACCACTACCCCCCATTGCCGCCTCCACCACTACCTTCCCCATCGCCATCGCCGTCTCCACCACCACCGCGACCCCAGTTATTGTCACTCACCACAACCATCACCGTTTCCCATCACTACCACTGTCACCCACCACTTCTCACCTCCACTACAAACCGACATTTAAATTTTGTTATTTTTTTTCTATGTTTGTGATTTAATTTTAGATATAAATGACAAATATGTTTATTGTTTACCATTTTTTATTACTATGTGTCTTTAGGCACAGACAATAACTAATGTATAATAAAGTAGTTTACAATTTAAATTTCAAAAGATAAACAAAATGACTTTTGTTATTCGCGATTGAGATCGCTTTAAATTTTACTTTAAAGTTAATCTAACGGCTAATATTAACACTCTTAATTTAATAAGAAAAATATGGCCCTAAGGATGTGTTTGAAGTAACTTTTTAAAAGTACTTTTAAAAATTATTTATCATAAATATTTTTTAAAAAAATAGTGTTTGAAACTGCCCCACCATTATCTCTACCAGCGCCACTACCGCTACCACCACCACTGTCGTCGCGCCGCCGCCACTACCACCACCGTCGCCACCGCCACCTACTTTTCACCCCCACTACAACCGATGTTTAAATTTATTTATCTCTCATATATATTTGTCATTTAATTTTGGATATGAATACAAATATATTTATTGTTTATCAATTTTTATTACTTTGTATCTTCAGGCACAGACAATAACTATTGTATAATAAAGTAGCTTACAATTTAAATCTCAAAAGATAAACAAAATGACTTTTGCTATTTGTAATTGAGATCGCTAATTTTTTTTTTTTAAAAGTTAATCTAACGGTTAATATTAACACCCTAAATTTAATAGGAAAAATAGGGATTTAAGGGTGTGTTTGAAATAACTTTCTAAAAGTACTTTTAGAAATTATTTCTCATAAATATTTCGAAAAAAAATAGTGTTTAAAACCGTCTCACCACTACCTCTACCAGCACCGCCGTCATCACCACTACCATCATCACCATCACCACCACGCCCACCACCACCCCCTACTGCCGCCACCACTATTGTTGCCACCCCCACCCCCTACCACTGCTGTCGCCATCACCACAGTCATTGTCACCCACCACAACAATTATCGTATCCTACCACCACCGTTGTCGCCCACTACTTCTCACCATCACTACATATAAATATATTTATTATTTATCATTTTTTATTACTCTGTGCATTTAAGCACAGACAATAACTAGTACATGTATAAAGTACACCTTAAAAATTAAATTATTTTTTAAAAAATAACTATTAATTTGAATTTTTCAATCCCACAAAATTTGTTCAACAAAAAGCCTCAAAAGACATTTTCATGACTTATTCAAGTGAGATACCCATCCTAGACCCACAAATGAAGGAAAATTTCACACAAAATTGCCTATAAAAGGTGGGCAGCACAATATAGTTGGAGCTAGTATTATATTTGGTTTGCTTGGGGTGAGTCGGAAACTTGACTTGAATAAGATAAATATTTTTTTTATAATGTATTAAAAATAAAAAATTATAAAAGTAAATTTATAAATTTAAATAATTAAATTCATGAATTTATAACGACTCTAAATTCGCGAATTAGCCAATTCCTTTTAATCGTGCTATCAAACAAACAAAAAAAAAAAATTGCACTGTAAGACAAAAAATTTCTAGACATTGCATCTGTGGTGGGACGCTAGGAAGCATTATCCGTGGGGCCCATCCATGTCATAGCTTACATCACCAAACGAATGGGACCCAATCCCCATTGAAGGAGTATATATGCACCATCGAATCAGTTGCATATATATAGTTTGATTCTAACGCTAAAGTGGGGACCACATTTCCACACCAGAACTTGATAATTGAATGGAAACTACTTTAAAAGTGAGTGCACACCCTAAATGAACTCCCCTAATTATTAAATCTCTATCATAGAAGTTTCACTCTATTCTCACTTTGACCCTCTTATTTTTTTTATTTTATCAATTTCACCTCTCAAATTTTGGAGTAATGTCAATTTAATTGAGAAAATAATAGTCGTACAATTTTTTATGTAAAAATAGTTAATATTTTTTTGATAATGATATGTGACATTATTCGATCAGGATTTTTAACGAGAATCGTTGATTCAATTTAATTACAAGTTACAACTTATTACAATTTAAAAGATAAAATTAACAACAACATTAAAGGATTAAAAGCATAATCAAGGTCAATCTCAACCAACTATCTAGATTCAAGCCAATTTCTTTTTGTAATAATCAAATCTCAGCTAAAAAGATTTAAAATAGAATCGTGGATAGGCAAAACTTGGTATGGGGTCCGCAGGTTCATTCGGGAGAAAAATATTCGCTCCAACTTAAAGAATTTGTCCACTTAGCCATCTCTCTCAATTGAAAAAAGAGACAGATAAATTGGTTCAACTTGACATAGTAGATGCGTATGATCATTTGAATCATGCGTTCTTATTCATAATAGTAGATTTTTTTAGGAAAAAAGTAATCAACCCATAAATATAAGTATAACTTTTTTTAGTAAACGGGAATGATCTCTGTTAAATTCTAGTTTTTTTCATGTAAAATTAGTTTGTGCACAATGACTTATAAATCACGAGCATTTGGTCAATCTGGATGTTTCTGCGAAACTCAAAGCTTGAAATCACAACATATGAACTATTAAAATCTAATTATCTAAACTACCACGGGAGGTTGTTGGTGTAACATTTTTTAAAAATGTCGCAGACAATGACACATTATTTCTTTTAATGGCCTACTTGTCAAGCAGCTAACTGCTAATATTTGTTGGAGTATTAGTTTAATACCCCCTACGATACGATTACCAACTATGCTAATCAAGTCATCACAGTTGGTAATTCATCTTTGATTTTGTTGCATAATAGAAGAATACATAAACAATTTACTAGTTTTTAGAACTGACATATTCATATGTATTTTTTATATGAATTTATATAATCATAGCTTCTTCTTGATTGAAATTTTCTTCTATATAAGCTGTATATATGTGCCGGGCATGGGCATATCCTGACGTGCCACAAGATTTATAATTATATAATAGACGAGAGAGAAAATGAGGTTCGAAATCACAACTTTAAGGTTTAATTGTGAGGATGGAGGTCATTAAGTTAATTGCTAAACTAAGTTGTATAATAAAGTTTGGTGTGAAAGATTCAATCAATGGTACGTCATAAAAATGTTAGATCCCTTTAATATGATTTTTTTAATATAGAGACTCCTTACTTTTTATATTGAAAAATAATGACATACCATGCATCTAGAATATTAGATTTATATATGAAGAAATTTCTCCAAGAATATTTACCCACGACTCTTAGGTAGGCTTGCCAATGAATTGAATTTTAATCTGAATTTAAATGGTAGGGTTTGGATTAATATTTTTTAACAGTAATTGGAATTCGATATCTTATATTTCATGGATTCCAACTTGAAGAAAACACATATCTAATTCGACTATGATCCAATCTAAATTATTTTTATATTTTTATATAAGAATTAAAGAAACTAAGTAATTATTTAAAAATATATAATTGAAAATTATGTCTAATTTGTTAAAAATTAGTTAGGTAAGTTATTTGGATTGGACTAAATTTCAGATCGGAATCATATTGTTAATAAATTCGGATATAAACTATGAATTTTTGTTGTCAAATTATCATATCATATTTATCTCGTACTTTAAAATCAAATTCAAATCTGGATCAATCAAAATTTGATTCAACCCTTATCTGTTGATAGACATACTCTTAGAAAGCCAAGTGTGTAAAACTAATTTATGCACTTTGAACCTGATCCGATTCAAACTTGATCCGTTGATAAGCATACACTCTTAGGAAGCCAAGTGTGTAAAACTAATCTAAGCATTTTGATTGACGAGGATATTAAACCCAAAAATAAGTATAACACTATTTTTCGATTACATACTAAAAATGACTATTTGCTGTAAATGATTTCTACTCAATGTAAGAGTAGAACTTGGACAAGTTAACTTAAAATTAAACCTGAACATAACTCGAATTTTTTAGTACTTAAATTGAAGTTTTTAATACTTGATTTGAGTTTCGTTTAAAATTTCAACTCGAATTAAAATTTGGATTAAAGTTGCTCTGGTTGAACTCGAGTATAATCACTCTGGTTGAGACTCCTCTCAGCATGCTCTAGGTACAACCCTAGTACTCATTAATCCTTAAACCGATAAAATAAAATAATACAGTATTAGAACTTTACACATATCATATTAGTTTTTTTTTTAAACAGTACAATAAAATTATTTTATGGATACCAAGTCTTAACTCCAAAAGTAGGGTAATTTCCAAGATACTAAAAAAAAAAATTTAGTATTGTATCATGTTATTATTTTTAATGGTACAGTTAATTATTTATGATCGATTATAAAATATTATGATCGATCATGAATTACTCGAATTAGTTGTAATTTTCCCTTTTACAAATTATAACATGACTTTTAAAAATTGTAATTTTTATGATTAATCATACTATTTTATGATCGGTTATATTTTTTAATAGTTATAACTTACACATTAAAAAATTATGATTTAACTTAAAAAAGTTGTAAATTTTAGTTTTGTACTAATTTTTTTTTTTTTGTTGGTTCAACATTTAAGGACTATTTGGATCAATTTACACGTATTTTGATTATTTTTTTTAATTTAATTAAAGATAAGTCATCACGTCAAAATTAAGAAATTTATAAGCGATCAAACTTTCACGTTCAATTTTAAAAAATTATTAAAATTCAAACTCGTGCCTTCTTGTACTATTTTCCTAGAGTAAAATAAATTAATTGAAGAGGATAATGATTGTACAGTGCTGGGATTTGGTGTCAGAAAATAAGCAAAGCCAAAGCAAAAACAGGGTCCTCCTGGCTCCGCCTATGAATACGGGTCGGCAAAAGTTCAGGTCTTTCACAGCTCCAACCAATGAAATCTCTTCGATTATGTAACCAATAGATTTTGCATTGTCTTTTTTTTCGCGAATCCCTAGGTTTCTCCTCTGTTCTTGCTCCGGGGGACTGTTCAATCTATTTCTCTTTCTCTCTCCACTCCTCATCCAATCTCAAAGGCTTTCCCAAAAGCTCTCCTGTTGCTCCGTTTCCTGGCAGCTTTCTTTTTCCCTCGGTCCCCGGGGTTTCACAATTATCAACTAAATACCCTGGCCTAGTTTCCAAATTATTGCATTTTTTAAAAAATAGTACTTTTATTTAAATTTAATCCATATCATAAGATAGCTAGTCCCCAAATTTTACGCACCCATCACACACTTTTTCTCTCAAAATTCACAAATTCCAACACAAATACTCCACAACACACAACTACATACACTCCAACACACTCATTATATACATATTCCAATACATGCATACTGTCATAACTTAGTATATAGGCCTTCTTGAGGTCAAGAATTTAAGTTTTCTTCCTCTTTCTCCCTCCTAAAAAAAAAAAAATATACAGTGACTTCAGTCACAGAATATCACTAGTTTATTGATATAACTTATTGTACTGGTTAGATTAACAATAAATCTTATTGTTGAATGTGATTCATCGTCAATTTAAGAGTTATAGTAGATTAGATCAGTAAATTAGGTCTGCATAAACATTGATCTTTTCAAAAAGGTCACTTATGACACTAATGTCATGTCTTTTATTTTTAACTAAACAAGTGTAAAATATTGTAAATTTTTTATTTTTTATTATTTTAAAGATCACTAATAAAAAAAACCAACACAAAATTTACAATCTATAGCAAAATTTAGTACGATACTACCTTGTCTTGTGGTATTCTCTTTTTAAAAGTATTGCATTGAGCAAATCAAGAAAAGTAAAAAATATTGGATACAATAAAATGATTTTGTTTTGTTTTCCTTTTTTTTCTTTTTGAGCAATACATATAGCTTCATAAATTTTCCAAGGGACTGAATGACAAAGTTTGTTTTGTTTCTTGAACTTATTGGCCTTTTTCTTCTTTTAAATGCAGGTAAATAAGCCTAAGTTGTTGTTTCTATCATCTCCTCGGTTTCTATTCCACATTCCACAAATTTTATAAGTAGGTATATTTTTCTCTCACACACATCAAATTTTTTGTCATTTTATGTTGACAAATGTATCCAATATTGGAATTAATGCGATTAAAAATACAAAAGAACAATGACAATGATGAATTGACAATCACATTTGGAGATTTCTAAGTGTTTTTAGTGACTCGGGCAAGTCAAGTAGGTTGGGATGTGCTACTTTCAAGGAATATGCTTATCCATCTACGTAAAAAAAAAAGAAAGAAAGGTTATAGTATTAAGAATTACGGTTCATTTGAAACAACTAGTGACTTAAAGAGGTCAAAAGGGTATTCAATCCTAATAGTATGGTGTTGATCTCAATAATTTTGTGATCATTTACTCAAAAATTTGATTCAGTTTGAATAATAGGGCCACACAAGAAAACAAAAGTGCAATGGCAAAAATAGCATTATGCAAAAGTACAAGGAGCCTTCTGTAAAAAACTAAAAATTAGGTGGAACGAAAAGACAAAAATAATAATAGCGATTTGGGCAACCTAGACTACCAAAAGGCAATGGGAGATGAATAAAATAATGAACTAACCAATTAGAAATGCACATATGGTGGATATTGCAGCAACTCAGACCTTTTCAATCCATGCCTACAGATGAGAGAGACATCCAGAGGTTGAGGAGAGAGAAAGAGAGATGGAGGAGGTTTAAGGGAGGTTTAGGTCTACCAACTGGTGGTTCGAGATTGCACTCCTTAACCAAACATCATCAACGGCAAAAACCAAGGCAAGCAACAACTAGGGTAGATAGATAGATAGAAAGAAAGCAAACCCAGAAAGAGAAACCAGAGAGAGAGAAACCATGTTTTCTTTTGGAAAAGAATTTGAGTTTCTGAGTTAAACAAACCTTTTAGGAGTTTTCATGAGAGAGAGAGAGAGAGAGAGTGTACGTATGCAATTCTCACGTGGGCATAGAACTATGAATGGAATGATGATGGGAAAGGAAAAATATGATAGGAAAGAGAAGAGTAAAGGGGGTGATGATTTTTGTACTTTGAACTTTAATATACTAAACTTCGTATTCTGAGTTATTTTTATGTTTTGTTTTTCGAATTTTTGGTGTCTGTGAGAGATGTGGTCAAAAGGCTGTTTGAGTCTTGGGATCAGGATGTTTCCGTCGAGGAGGATTATTCCGGCGGATCGGAGCTTCTCTGTTCCCCACAAGACACACAACAGTCACTTGTTTTCAGGTACTTTAATATTTTTCTTATTATTCAGCTGACTTTCTTTTCATTATCTATTAGCTGCTGAGGGAAAAACTAGAAAAATATATTGTTTTCCTCTCTCTCTTTCTGAATGTGCAAGGAGTTGATGATGAGAATGATGGTAAGAAAGGGACTTTGATAATTATTCTGGTGTATCTTTTGGGCTTTTGGATTATGAATTCTCTCACTTCCTGTTCCTCTCTTTTCTTTTCTTTTTCCCCCTTTGTCCTTTTTCTTCTTGATGGATTTTTGGTTTTCTACACCCTGGTGAATTCTCTCACTTCCTATTCCTCTCTTTTCTTTTCTTTTTCCCCCTTTGTCCTTTTTCTTCCTGATGAATTTTTGGGTTTCTAGACCCTGGTTAGCTGATTTATTATGTAAGGGTTCTTTATATTCCCGGGTTTTTCTTCTGATTTTGTTTTGAGGTCTGTTAGGGTAGTCAAAATTTGCTAATTTTGCTACATTATTTACTTGGTTACTCTGAAATTGTTTCATCTGAAATAAAAATTGAATTACGGCATATGCAATATTTTCTGGTCATGATGATAGAAAGTTTTGTTTATAACTATTGAGGAAGTGGAGATATATCTCTGTTGAATGTCGATACCAAATCCTCCTTCATTAAGAAGAATCATTTGTAAGCATTTGTATGTGTGTGCGCGCAAACATTAATGAAGGATGCTTGTTTGATAAAGATTTTTTCATTATAAACATGTTATGGCACCAACAGAAGCTTCCCTGTTCATGTGAATGGAAAACCATGGTATAGAATTGTGTTTACAATTCTGTTTTGGTAAACAGTGACTTTAATTCTTTCTTCATTAAAATCCAATCTTCAAACTCTAATTTGTGTTGGTGCTCTTAAACCTTCTTAGGCCCGTTTAAGAACCAGTTCGAAGACTTTATATCCAAATCATGCTCTGTAATTCTTTCTATGCATTGCTTGATAACCATCACATTCCATTCCATTTCGATTTTGGCAGATTGACTAGGTTATCAGCTCAGCTTCCCTAGTGAAATAGCGTTGGACAGACAAAAAGATGGCCACTTATTTTCCAAATTCAAACGACCAAAGGGATGTTGCACCAATGCTCTATATGAGGGAACCTTTGTCCAGTTCTTATGGAGAAGCATCAGCTCTTCCGGGGAATATGATGATGCATATGAACTACTCATCTGCTTCTGGGTCATATTCAAATACAGTGGCAGGGAATTCCCAGCAGCAAATCAGCTGCATTGATATTCCACCTGTGGGAGTCTCGGATCCCAACTCGTCACCACAAGAAATTCTGCCTAATCTTGGAGGGTCACGATTTGGGGAACACGACTTCAGTTCATGGAGGTATGGTCGGAATGAATTGCTGCTAATGCACACTATGGGTGGTGCCACCAGCACTCTTCAAGGTGGTCAGGGTTTATCCCTCAGCCTGAGTTCACATATACCCTCTGGAATGCAGATATCTTCTGTTCAATACCGGAATCCTAACTCGGGTTACTCTTCATTCTTGAGTCCTAATTCTTCAATTTCAGCAGAGGGCAGTGGCAGGAATTTGTCTTTTAGAGATGATAACTCCCAAAATAAAGAATCAAACAACACTGAATATATGATACCTGGTTTTCCAGCAAGCAATTCAGATTCAATGAAAACAGATATTTCTCCATATGGAATGCCAACTATTGCAAGAACCATTCCGAATTCCAGATACTTAAAAGCAGCACAGCAATTGCTTGATGAAGTTGTAAATGTCGGGAAAGCTCAGAGGCGGCGTGATTCCCAGAAAGATTTTACGAAGGATTCTAAAGAAGTTGATGGTGGATCAAAAAATGGGACCTCGGTGCCCCCTGCAACTGGTGAGTCTTCAAACCATCAAGAATCATCCAGTAACTCACCAAGTGAGCTTTCTGCGGCTGAAAAACAGGATCTACAAAACAAGATGACAAAGCTTTTGTCTATGCTGGATGAGGTAAGACTATCACTAGTACCATCTTGTGTGTTAGTTTGCTAGTTTTTAAGGTTCTTACAGTGTACTCTGTTATATTAATGTCAGTTATTTTCTAATCTCTCCGGCAACCTCCATATTTATCTCCCTGGTTGCTAATTTGGCTGAATTTCTTCTTTTCAATATTTTGAAACCCAAAGGTCATTCTTTTCACTTCATTTCTTTATTTTATTGTATGTAGTCCAATAGTATGAGATTTGTTCGCTGCATTTTTTGTGTGAAACAGTGGAGCCCACCATGCATATCTCAGAAGTGAAACAGTGCTAAATAAAACATTCAAAAAGATGTGATTTATGTACATATACAATATATCATGAATTCTGAGAGTTTAGGTCTTGTAAAGAAAGAAAATATTGAAGGCATTATTGTTCCTTGTAATGATCAGAGCATCATTACAAGGAACAATGGTTGGATTTTATCTTTCTGATCATCAGGCTAGAGAGCCATTGTTTTTCCCAAGGGAGACAATTACATCAAGATGAAGACTTGCCTTACTGCAATCTTCAATGCACTGCATAAGAAATTTAAGCATTGTTGAATAGGTGTAATAGCCCCCCTCTAAAATTGTTTGCCTATTGCTACATATTGCTGATTTTTTACTGTCATTGTTTAGCTTAACTAACAGAGGGTCCTATGTCTTGCCAATTTTAAAAGTTAAAACTCAAATGAAGTGAAAATTCGCTTCTCATGACTGCCATTCTATTCTCGCAGGTTGATAGAAGGTACAGACAGTATTATCATCAGATGCAGATTGTTGTTTCTTCATTTGACGTAATAGCAGGATGTGGGGCGGCTAAACCCTACACAGCACTTGCCCTCCAAACAATTTCTCGTCACTTCCGGTGCTTGCGTGATGCCATAAATGGCCAGATTCGAGCATCACAGAGAAGCCTTGGGGAACAAGATGCTTCTGCAAGTAGTACAGGGGTTGGAATATCTCGCCTCCGTTATGTAGACCAGCAGATCAGACAACAGAGAGCCATTCAGCAGCTTGGCATGATGCAACAACATGCATGGAGGCCACAGAGAGGGCTGCCCGAAAGCTCTGTTTCAATATTGCGTGCTTGGCTCTTTGAGCATTTTCTTCATCCGTAAACTCCCACTACAACCTTCTGCATTCTTTTGATCTTTTTCCTCACTTGCACTATTCAGTACATTTGACCACTTCAACTGATCTGATTGATAAATTTCTTGTTTTCCAGCTACCCAAAAGATTCTGATAAAATCATGTTAGCTAGGCAGACAGGCTTGACGAGAAGTCAGGTAAAAAAGACTATATTATTTTGCAATGTAAAGATAAAGCCCAAGTCTCTACGTGTTCATAGAAGTATATGACCATCATTCTTTTCATTGAGTAGATTTTTATCTCTACATCAACAATGTTGATAATATAGGTTGGCAATTATTTGATTGGAATAGTATGGGAATTAACCTAAGAACTTAAAATTTCATGGAATTGCCTATAGTGGGAATGGTGATTTTCCATATTAATGTGGACAAAATTTCTAGCTAAAGTTCTTCAGAAAAATTAATTCCTGTTAGAGAGTGTTTATCCCACTTGAAGGACATCCTTTTCTTCGGCAGTCCTATAGGGGAACAACTGTGGTCTGTGATTATGAGAGAAGGCAAGCTGTGTTTCTAAAGACAGTTTAGTGGAGGGAATACCATTATTCTTAGCAGCGAAGTCACGGCAGGACCAGGTGGGGCTATGACCCCTTTGAGTTTGGATAATTGCATTTCGACATTGCCACACTTAAAGTATGACCCCTCTCAATCTTTTATTTTGTTCTGCCCTTGTTTGGCCCCTGTAATTTTGAATTATCTAGTTGGGGTAAGGTTCCGTTAAATTCACTCATTTCTTGTGTTGTTCAGCAGCTTTTTCTCCCTTTGTCTAGTTGTGCTGTTAGAGTATGCTTTACTTTTTGAACTTGTTTTTCTCTTTGCAATAAAAAACTAGAATTATTGAACTATAAAATGGATTAAACCTGTGGAAATTTTTCGTAGTTTGAGATTTTAAAGGTGGTGACACTACAGATTGCCTCTTTTATCATTGTCTTTGATACAAGGTTGATTGTCCTTGTCATCAGTCAGCATGTGCCTTGTATCAGTATTAACAAACATCAATTTCATGGTGCATGCTTTATAAATTGGTCTCCTCGATTATATTGTTCCCATATCAATGGTATGGCTCAGGTTTCAAACTGGTTTATAAATGCACGAGTACGTCTTTGGAAGCCAATGGTGGAAGAAATGTACAAAGAAGAGACTGGTGATGCTGAAATGGACTCTAATTCTTCCTCTGAAATTGCACCCAGAGCTACGAAAGGTGATGTGAAGGCCTCTGAGGATGGAGGGGAAGATTTACAACAAAGTGCAACTTCTGCAGCAACTGAACATTGTAGCAACGGTCAATTCTTTCAGTCAAAATCTGATCATGTTCGTGATGTAGAAATGGTGGCTAATTTCGATTCCAGTTTCCAAAATATGAGCTGTGGAGGAACTGAAATGGAATATGGGGTAGGAAAACCAAGAGGGGAAAAAAGGCCTACTGTGGATGACTATAATCTTTTCCCAAGGAACATGGTTCCTGCATACCAAATATCAGAATTGGGGAGGTTTGGAAATGGAAATGGAGTATCACTCACATTGGGATTGCAGCATTGTGAAGGTGGTAGTGTACCCATGTCTATTGAGACTCGTCATAGTTTTGTCACCATGAGAGGGGAAGGCATCTACGAGGCAGCTGCTTCTCCTGTGGAGCCTGATTCAACAGATTTCGACTGCCTGGATTCTGGAAACCGACAGCCCAGGTTTGGCCCACCCCATTTGTTGCATGATTTTGTAGCATGAGAAGGCAGAACTTCTTTGTTGAAGTTTTGAACCATTCCGCGAAGAATATTCATCTCGTATGCTAATTGTCAAATGGGGAGGTTAGTCCTCTTGATCATGAAAATATAAGAAATATAGTTGCAATATAATGAAAATTTGATTGGAAGTTACCGCATTTGTAAAGGTAAGGTAAATAAATTTTGTTTAGTATGTTGAAGAATTTTGTATGATTACTTTGGTATTGAAGAAAGTGGATCTTTCATTATTTTTTATTAGTACTCTATAGCTTGGACCATGTTGGCCACAATGTTCTGCCTGGTGGAAAAATATTGTATTTGAGAGGAGCGATGACAAATGCTCATCCGCCCGAGCAACATGTCGGTTGTTTTAGTCTGAGAACTCCAAAATGGGTACACAGCTTCATATCACTATTCCCCTAAGCCTCACCATGGACAGAGCATTATGCACTGGTTAAGTCTTTTTTAAGGGGCAAGCCTGAGGCTTATGACAGCGCTGGCTTGTTCCGAGCCTAAGGTGTAGTAGTAGTAGTGTCATGATTTATGTAACGGATATACTTCAAAAAAACAAAACGAGGCACAATGGTTTGATCATTATATTTTGTCGTGATAGGGATGGATAGTGGATGATCCTCATTCTTGCTGAAACATTTGTCTAAAATTCAAGTGATTGGAAGTCATTCTATCAAGTTGCTTGTAGATTCAGTCTTAAAGCCGGGCAAAATTGTACTGAGTGATACACTCCATACAAACTAAAATTGAGGATACAGAATTGCCATACAATGAGCAATTACATCCCTCCTAACTAGTACATCAATCATACCTTTATAGGATTGCAACACCATTGAAGAAAGAGAAAGAGGAATGAAAAGAACACAAGTAACAATAATATAACAAAGTGTTTCTATATAGAAATATGCTGGCCATTACACACCATTGAATGTGTTGAGTGTCAAACATCAAGGAAACTCTGCTCGCAACAATTCTGTATTATTTTGCTGAACCAAACTGATAATTTATCGACCATTGAGTGCGGATGATTGAGCAGACGATGCAGTTCCTGAAAGCTCGTCAATGACCTGAACTTCAGCAGGGTTTGTACTCTCCTGAGGCAACGAAATGGGTCGGTTATCAGTGGTCGTAGCAGCAGCAGAAGCAACCATAGCAGAAGAGGTAGCAGCTGCAAAAGCATTGTTTTCATCCTCTTCCTTTCCTTGCAATGAGGTCTCTTGCAGCTGCAATGCATACTCCAAATTCCACAGCACATCACCCATAGTAGGCCTGTCAACACCATACTCAGCCAAACACTTCTCTGCAGCCTCAGCAAACTTGTTCATCGACTCAAGATTGATATGGCCAACGAGGGTCGGGTCTATGATCTTGTCAAGCAAGGCCTTTCTCTTGCATTGCATTGCCCACTCTGCCAAGTTCACTTGATCCCTCGACAATGCCGGGTTTAAGGCTGGACGTGCACACAAGACTTCCAACAACACCACCCCAAAAGAGTAAACATCCGATTTATCAGTCAGTTGCTGTTTTCTGAAGTACTCAGGATCCAAATACCCAAAACTCCCCTTCACCGCGGTACTAACATGAGTTTGCTCAGTGGTTGGTGCATCTTTTGACAGACCAAAATCAGCCATTTTGGCTATGAAGTTATCATCTAGCAAAATGTTTGTGGTTTTCACATCACGGTGGATTATACCTTGAGCTGCACCTGTGTGGAGGTAATGAAGCCCACGAGCTGCCCCGATGCATATTTCAAGCCTCTGCTTCCATGACATTGATGGCAAGTCCGTTCCATAAAGATGATCTCTGAGAGGTCCATTGGACATGAACTCGTAAACCAGTATCATTTCTGCGTTTTCGTCACAATACCCAATCAGTGACACCAAATGACGATGTCTAAGTTTTGATAGGATCTGGATTTCTGTTTGGAATTCATTGATTCCTTGTTCAGATTGTGGGTTGCCTCTCTTGATAGCCACTTTAGTCCCATCATAAATCTCTCCAACATAGACATTTCCAAACCCGCCAACACCGATGATTGCACTTGGATCCCAATTCTTTGTAGCTTCTTGTAGCTCAAAGAAAGAGAAGTATCGGCCTAGTCCAGTAGTTGATGAGAAGAATTGGCTCTTTCGAGACCCTATCGAGTGCTTGCTTGACATAAAGCTTGTGTCTCCAGCATGAAGTGGAAGCAACCATGAAGAGAAACTGTTCCTCCTTTGCCAATCTTGAGGCCTCTTTTGCCACTTCACAGCCATTGCACCCAAACCCACAAAGGCTCCAAACATCATTGCAAACCCAACTGCAGCCACCGTGCCACGGGTTGCACCGGTGGCTGACTTTCCATCAACACCAAACTCTCCATCCAAACTACCAACAGTATTGTTGATTTTCATGACCTCCACACCATTAAGAAGTGCATTCTTTGATCCAGTGTCTTCGTTCATCGGACCAATCTGAATGGTGAGTGGATTAGTCACCATGGTTGAATTCACAACAAAGTCTTTGTAGTAAGGCATTGCCAAACCGCCCGTGAGCGTCGACAAATCTAACCCCGAAATTGCCATCTTCCCATTGATATACACATTGAAATAAAGGTCATTGAGGGACTTGCTGACTATATCACAAAAGTGTAAGCGAACAAAGTATGCATATGAAGTATCAATATCTAAATTCCATGTCACATTGAAGTTTGGACTAATGACATTGGCATTTTCCATCTCAATTGCAGATGCATACACTGTTGGTGGCGCGATCAATGGTGATTCTCCTTCAGGGTAAGAAATGATCGATGGTGCGATGGAGGTATTCTTTGCTGCAAGGCCATGCTTGAGATATGGTTGATCAGACACCCAAGTTCGACCCAAGGTGTCATTTTGTGAGCTAATGATAGGACCACCGACATTAAGCCTATACACGGTTTGGTAAGCGTTTGTGGACAGGCCTGTAGTTTGTGCAACGGGAAAAAGAGTCGAGCCAACATCGCTGATCAACATATCCGGGGCAGAAACTACCTCAATGGCATTGATGAAAGCTGCAGAGTCCTTCACAGGTTGGAATTTGATGGAGAATTGTTCAGTGGTTACATTAACAAGGTACTCTTTGACAAACCAACTAGTGTTGTTGCCAAGTTCAAATTCATGGAGTAGGACTAATGTATCTGTGATGACAGAGAATTTGGCATCCTTAAGATTAAATTCATTGCTTTGAACAGGGAAGAAATGGAGTCGTACCCAATGCCAACCCGGTCGAGACATATGAAACTTGTAAACGGCCTCATTGAAAAAGATTTTTGCACTAAGATAGATAGGTAGAGGAACATCTGCTGATGGTACAGAAACTTGGACGTCCCTGCCTTGGTTTGATAGGAACTTACCAGTGTCTTGGTCTGGTAAAAAGACCCTTTGATTTGGTAGGGTGGTTTGAGCGGTCGCGCCACAATCAAGGAGGAAGTTATCTAGTGGGATAAAGGTATCAGATTTAGCAGGGGCACCGGTGGACACGCCTGAGACAATTGGGTAGGCTAGGAAGAGGTAGAAAAGAACCACGAGGATCGCCATTGTCGACGATGATGGTATCTTTTCCATCTCCAGCCCTCCTGGCTAAGGAGGAAGAAATGGAGAAAAAAAAAGACTAAAGGAGGAGGTGAGAAAACAAGGGAATGTTCATTTGAGGGTGTTTCTAATGTATATGGTTGTACTTTATTTGGACTATAAGTGAAGGGGGGGTGAATGTGACAGGTTGAATTCATTTTGGGGCTTTGCCAATTTCGTCGCCATTTTTTGTGGGGTGGAAGATTTATGGTGTTGAAGTTGCGTTTGTCTTTAGTGCCTATACTTGGTAACTCCCAACAGAACATTAGAAATCAGTGGTTTCAAGCTTGAAATGGTCAAACACCATTCATGTGCCATTTCTCTCTCTCTCTCCCCTCCCCCTCTCTCAGACTCTCTCTTGAAATTCCATGTGTAGGAAATTGTTCTAACAGGTTAAATAAGTGGTTAAAATGATGGTTATTTTAAGAGGAAAATCCAAGGAAAGAATTATAAATATAGGATTTATGTACATATTTAGGCAGTCTAAAGGAAAAAGGGTGAGTTGTGGTAGTGTGTTTAATGAAAAAAAAACCATGTGTGTGAGAAATTTAGTGATGGGTCTCCCACTGAAATTTGAAAATATCAGCAAACAAGAAAAAAATGTTTGATGATGTTACGTCATCGTCGTTACGTGATGATGACCAAAAATTATTAAATGAGTTAATAAACTCTACAAAATATAATAATTACTCCATTTATAAAAGTGGATTCACTATATCTATTGGATAATCTTTAATAGAACACTAACATCACAATCTAATGAAACAGTAAACCCCAAACAAAAAATGTGTAGAAATTCACTGTGCAAGTGATTAAATGGGCGAGATTTACTATTTATTTTATTTCTTTTCAAAACTTGAAGAAGTGTCCGTAGAACTCCTGTCAATTATTTATTCGAAATGCTGAAAATAACATATTACTACATGCTGAAAAAACAGATCACTTAAGGCCTCGTTTGGTAACGTTTTTGTTTTTCGTTTTTCGTTTTTATTTTGATTTTTAAAGAAACAAGAAAAAAAAAACTCGTTCGATAATCGATTTTGTTTTTTTTTTACTGTCACCGTTTTGTAAACGTGAGGCGATTTTCAAGAATTAAAAAAAAAAGTTTTTGGTTTTCGTTTTTTTGTCAGCAATAAATTCGGCTGTGGTGCATAGCATAACTCCTTTCATGATGGCTTGGACCGGCTAGTATCATCCCCATTCCATTTTGTCTTTTGTCGGGCCTCATGGAGAGCCCAAGCAATGATGGCTAGGCCTGCCCAAAGCCCACTACTAAAAACTCTCGCTTTGCTCTAAGCTTGAGAAGCTTCACCATTACAAAAAGGACCAAGCCAGACTGGCCCTTGCTTGGCGGTCAAGTCCAGTACTCACCGATCAGTGACTCAATTTCATCGGTTGATCAGAAAATTCGATGTCGAGCGAAGCCGAAGACGCTGTTCGCCGCCGTACTGCTGTGGCCGAGTATCGGAAAAAGCTCCTCCAGCACAAGGAACTTGAGTCACGAGTTCGAGGAGGTGAGATCCACAGTCCTACTAAACCCTAATCCCTTTCTTGGTCTGATTTAATTCTTCTGTATATGTTCATCAATATTGTAGGTGTACATATTCCTAGCTCTTTTGATAATGCTTTATTGATTTATAGTAATCCATGAAATTCACCGGTAAACCAATACTTGTGCTCTCTGGTAATGGTGCGATTGCTTGGAAAGTTTGGGGCTTCAATGCTTCTGTGTCGTTTTATATATTAAATTCTTGTTTCGCAATCGCAATTTTCATTTTTCTTCTTCTCTTTTATGTATTATGAATTTTGCAAAAGAAAAAGATTACTCTTGGTAGCCGAGAGGAGAAGTAGCATAAAAAGTCTGAGTCGTCTGAGCCAGTATGTTGATTTAGTTTCAGGAACATTGAAGCTTACCGCCTATATATGCTGAGACATAGTTTTGTAAAGACTTTGCTTTCTCAAGTCTTCAACTGCTGATCACATTGGATACTCTGTTTTATGATTTCCTTTTCTTAAGAAATGACCTGTTCAACTGTATGTCATCTTGTATCCGTTACTAGTGGAACCATTCGTGTTGTGAAACTAGCACTCTAAGAACAAGGCTTTATGGGTTGGTGCGGTCAAGAGTGCAAAGAACTAGGTTAACCATTATTTGCTTAGTGCCAAGTGCTCTTTGCTTTTCCGTTAAGACCTTCATGTATCCTTGTAGAAACTTCTCATGATCGAATAAGACATCGGTTGTGATGGTTGTGTCTGGATATAACAAGGCCAATGCTTGAGTCAAAAGCATTTGAAACAAAGTATGTTAAAATCTATGTTGTACTTTGAGAGTCTCCCTGTATCAAAGTAGAGAGAGAGATAACAAATAGAATACTAGAAGAACAAGGAGGACCAGGCATAGGAGAACAAGAGAAGAAGAAAGGAAAGGGTTGCTATAGTTAGAAATTTGTTATTTCCAATATCCTCCGAAGAAGCAAGAAATGCTATATGGTAAAACCTTGGAGAGACTTGAGATGAATCGTATTTTGGACTGTTTATTTAATTTCCATTTATGTAAATATCATGTTGTCTATTTGTTTTGATCATTTACTCGAGGAACATTTTGGACTGGTCTCTAGAAACTATTGGATTCTTTCATAAACCATAACCTGCCCTTGCAGTTCTCCTATTTATGTTATGGATGTGACTAACATGTGATGGGATTTTCTTTAGTGAGAGAGAATTTGCGGTCTACAAAGAAGGAGTTTGCCAAGACGGAAGACGATTTGAAGTCGCTTCAGAGTGTTGGACAGATCATAGGCGAAGTTCTTAGGCCTCTGGACAATGAACGCTGTAATTTACCTCTCTTGATATTCTATCTGGTTACCTACTTATTACTACAACAGAAGTTTTAGTTTTGAAGTTGATTTATTGATAAACTCTCTTCTCTTTCATCCCAATTGTAATGTACTTGTTACCTTAAGAGGGTCCATTTATTGTACTTAAAAAATCCACAAATCTCACAAGATAGAGGGATAACGTATTGCTAGTGTGGCTGTGAGAATGTTAATCTCGTGGTGGGATGTCTCATTTCTATTCAAGTTGAAAGTAGCTAAGGTTATTTTGCTATTGCTTGTTATGGTTTTGCAAAGGATGCATAACATTTTTCAGTTAACCATGTTTTGCTGGTCCATTGTCTTTTTGTTCTTTTTCTTTACAAGGCATGCCTGCATGGATTGGGAAGGAGCTAGAAGACATTCAGGGAACTAACTAATACTTTGTACTTTGTCAGTGATAGTTAAAGCCAGTAGTGGTCCAAGGTATGTGGTGGGTTGCCGCAATAAAGTGGACAAGGAAAAATTAACTTCAGGCACTAGAGTGGTTCTTGATATGACTACTCTTACGATTATGCGGGCGCTCCCCCGTGAAGTGAGTAATTTCCTTGGTGTGCTAATATGTTATAGTCTGGTTTTCTTAATTGTTTTCTCCTAGTTCACTTATCCAACAACTGTACTGTCATTAGGAGTTTTGATGTATGCTGTCCTGAAACTTATTTGGACAGGTTGATCCAGTTGTCTATAATATGCTTCATGAAGATCCGGGAAATGTCAGCTACTCTGCAGTAGGAGGGTTGTCGGATCAGATCCGAGAACTGAGGGAATCCATAGAGTTGCCTCTGATGAATCCTGAACTCTTCCTTAGGGTTGGCATCAAACCTCCCAAGGTTAGTATTATGCTTTTTCTGAAGCATATTCAGCAAGCCTATATCGCCTCTGATAAAGTGATGGAGTAGCCAACTTTTGTTTTTTTTCAGGGTGTTCTTCTCTATGGACCTCCTGGAACTGGAAAGACATTATTGGCTAGAGCAATTGCTAGCAACATAGATGCCAATTTCTTGAAGGTAAGACTTTGTTGTCAAATCATACTCCCTTTGGTTTTGGATTACTTTTACACTATATATAACATGTCTTTTTATGTTTGTTACTCCATGCAGGTTGTATCAAGTGCCATAATTGATAAATACATAGGTGAGAGTGCAAGATTGATCCGGGAAATGTTTGGGTATGCTCGTGATCACCAAGTAAGGTGTCAAAACACATGGAAAGTGTATTTCTGTGACATGATTGAGTCAATGAAACGCTCTGATTTCCTTATAAATTTTTTCCCTGTTAGCCTTGTATCATATTTATGGACGAGATTGATGCCATCGGTGGACGCCGTTTCAGCGAGGGAACAAGTGCTGATCGTGAAATTCAGAGAACACTCATGGAGTTGCTTAACCAGCTGGATGGATTTGACCAGCTTGGGAAGGTTTCTGATTAATCTAGATCCTGAATGTTTGATTTGATTATCTTGTACTATAATAAGCTTGTAGATTCACTGGTGTGTAAGAAACTTTTATTTATTTATTGTGATTTATGTCAATTATGGTCAATAGGTAAAAATGATTATGGCAACAAACAGACCCGATGTTTTGGATCCTGCCCTTCTTCGTCCAGGGCGCTTAGACAGAAAGATAGAGATTCCGTTGCCAAATGAGCAGTCAAGGATGGAAATTCTCAAAATCCATGCTGCTGGGATTGCCAAACATGGTGAAATTGATTATGAGGCAGTTGTTAAGCTTGCTGAGGTAGGGAGGCTAAAAGTATTGTCTAGGATGTGTTATTTTAACCTCCAATGTAATTATCTTGATTTGCACTTTCTTCAGGGATTTAATGGGGCTGATCTGCGTAACGTGTGCACTGAAGCTGGTATGTCAGCAATTCGTGCAGAACGTGACTACGTCATCCATGAAGATTTCATGAAGGTAGAGGTCTCATACTCCTTCATGTGGGTCCTACCTAGTACTTTGTTAGAGAATGAATGTATGCAGCACTTGGTTAACAGAGTGATATATAGCTTTATGGCTGCTATAAGGTCAGAAAGGTGACAGCAGTCGAGGTGCATCCGGGGAGATTTCTAGAGATATGTTTTTCTGCATGAGATTGTTGGATGCGGATGCTAACTTCTGTTCTATTTTTCTCCTTCCTCATTCTATTTTCTTCTTTTGTTTTTTGGGGTTGGGATGCATGTGTCTGAACTCTTATTGAAGGTATGTCTACGAAAAAAAGATGTGGTGATGAGAGTACTCCATGGTCATGGCCTTTTCATCACCATCTCTGTACATGGTTGGTGGATAGAATGGGGGCCAGCCAGATGGACTCCTGCCTTAAACGAGTGCGAGAGAATGCCTCAAATGTTTTCCTTTAGGCCTTCCTTTGTGGTGGCTTCGGCTTTTAGCCTCTCAGTCACTGTGTCACAGCTTCAGATAATTGAACAGATTAGTTCCTCCACTTGAGCAGAGAAATAGATCCTTTTTTCTTTCTTTCGATTTTTGGTGTTACAAACGTTTGTGGTTTTTATGTTGACGATCTGCATCTTCTATATGTCTTGGGAGGATGCGTTGCACGGTGATATGAGCACTATCCAGTACACATTTGAACTTAGTGTGTGTGTGTTAATCTTGATGTTTCTGACTCTTATAACTTTTTTGTGTTTGCCAATGTTCCAGGCTGTCCGGAAACTGAATGAAGCTAAGAAACTTGAATCCAGTGCTCATTACAATGCTGATTTTGGGAAGGATTAAGACCCTGTGAATTCAGTCTATAGTAACATGAGTGAACTGTAAGTGCAATGTATTCTGAATCAGGAAATGTGTCTGCTTGTGTTTTTTCTGCTTGGAGGAATACTTGATTTATTGCATTGGATTTAATGCTTATATTTGTTCTCACTTTATAATTGCGAAAAGGATTACAATTTACTTGTTAGAAGGACTATCAAAACTAGTTATGAACCATCTCAGCAAATATTGTACTTAGGATGTGTACATATTAAAATACGGCAGAGCTTTGTTTCTTTCAAAAAGCTTTGAATAAAGTAGATTGCCTTTTTTTTTTTCCTGAATAGGATCTCTTTTGACACATGGATTAGTTTGAGTTGTGAGATAAGGGAGAGAAATTTACTTGGGCAAATGGTAATGGTCAAGTGAATTGGACTATGTAGGTTGACTTTTAGGGGGATGGATTGGACTGCTGGTTCGGTGGTGGTTGCGGAGGAGGAAGGTTAACTTTGATCCGGTTCATATATATATAGGTCCGGGGTAATTTGGTAAAAACCCCCTTCCAACCAAGAGTAATTATGTAAAAAAAAGCTCATGTAGCATCTATACTCATCTCCATTTCCCTCCAAACACCCAACCCCTATCAGAATGTTTTGTCATTGATGGATCTCAAGGAAAAGGGAGAAGGAGAAAGGGAGAGGAGGAGGAGAGAATTCGGGGGCAGTGGAGGGGAGGTTAAAAGATGCCATCAAAAGAGACAAGTGTACTGGAACTTGAAAGAAAGTTCGAGACATAGAACAAAAGCATCAAAAACCTATAAGCGACACATCTGCCCAACAATTTATTACACAGCATTTCCTCAAAAACTTAAAGCACCCACATACAATATTATGGTCTTATTACTACTGCCCAGGACTAAAAACAAACAAGCGCCTATGCGCGCGCGTGTGCACACACACACAATGTAAGCACCTATTTATGTAGTCCTACTCGTTATGGTGACCAGGTAGTTTTTCCTTGATCTTCTCCAGTATACCCTTCTTCCCATGCTCTTCCTGATGCTGTTTTCCCGGAGTGGTGTAGTAGGTGCCCAGGGTGGTCCGGCCGGTAGCGCTGCCTTCTTGTTCTTGTTCTTGTTCTTCCTGATCATCTTTGTGCTTTCCTCCTGTCAGTTTTTCCATTATTTTCTCCTTCAGCCCTTTTTTCTTCCTTCTCCCACCTTGCCCATCATCCTCAGACTATTAGAGTGAAAAGGGCTGTAAATTAGAGCTATTGCCATTCATGTTCACATGTTAGCCTACTCTTTAAAATAGCAAATTCTAAACACGATCAGCTAGCTTGAGCACAAAATCAGCTCGAAATTACTAGGTATGATATAGAGTGTAGCTTCACAAAATTAATGCAAACTTGCCAGATATTTTTCTTTCTGTAATTGTGCATGGTCAGGTTTGGGTTGAGGGTACAGTAATTAGGTCCGTCCCATGCATAATTGAGTTTGTGTTATTTTCAATATGGGTGTGATTATATATATAGGGTGTCAGAATAAGATTGAGGTATTTCATAAAGTACCCATTTCGTTTCGTAAATACTTACGTGAAATCAATAAAAGAAAGACATAACACGATATATTAATTAAACAAGATATACCACGACAATCGGCATGGATGGAATTTGTTTTTTTGATGTGAGTAGAAAATGATTGCAACAGCGTATAATAGGATATATATATATATATAATGGGTTCGAATGTCCTCACCGAGCTAGAGCTTGAACTGCCGGAGCGATGAAGCTTCTGCTGACCTCCGGCACCGGTGCCAAACGATGCTGGTTTGGCAACCCCTGTAATGTGTACTGGCCGACCATACTCATCGGTTAATTGAACAGGACTGCCGTGTTCGTCCGTAAGCTGAATTGGATTCCCATGTTCATCACGTAAATCTGCAGACATTTTTAAAAACAGAGGGAGAGAGAG